TGTGGTGGTAGGAGTGGTCAACTACCATCAAGTACATCCCTAACTAACGGTGACACCAGTGCTGAATCTGAGCAATACTGTCTGGACCTCGAACTCACGCTATTGAGAGAAGGAAAGACATTATGAAGGTTTTCCAATCCAGACCAAAGTCTAATCAATTATTGAGGTCTGAATGCTTCAATTATTGAGCTCTGAATGCTCCCCAGGCACCCTGAAAGGATCTTTGGCATTTAATTTCTACTGTAAGGCTCTAGAGTAGGTATTACTCTTCCCATACCAGAGATGGAGAAATATCATCTGAAACTGATCCCACGCTTTAGCCAGAGTCACAGAAGTGCTAGCACAGGAAGTCAGAAGAAGAAGGGATGCATTTAATTTGTAGTGTTGGTGAAGAATATCAAATGTGCTGTGGACTGCCAGAAGAACGAGCAAATCTGGCTTAGAAGAAACACAAAAAGTATGCTTCACAGAAGTGAGGATGGCAAGCCCCCCGCTTGCCGGCATTGGGCATGCGATCAGGAAAGAGCAGTTGCTTGAAATTGACATCATGCTTGGTGAAGTAGAAGGTCGGTGGAAGACAAGGAAAGCCTTCAGTGAGATGGATTGATGCAATAGCCACACAACGGCCGTAAACATACCAATGACCATGAAGATGACATAGGACCAGGCAACAGTTTAGTCTGTCAAACATAAGGTTGCCATGAGTCCAAGCTGGCCCTATGACAACGAACAATAACAACAAACGCCAAGAGTCATTTCTGAGCTCTCAATTACCAAAACTTTTTTATATACCAGGCTGCTACTTTGACAACTAAGGTTCTCCTCCCCAAGCCATGGTATTTTCTATTGCCTCCTATGCATGTGAAAGTTGGACATTGAATAAAGAAGATTGAAGAAGAATCAATGTATTTGAATTGTGGTGTTGAAGTAGAATATTGAAAGTGCCATAAACAAACCTCTAGTTCCTAAATGTTTCCTCCCCGCTCCCACTATCATGACACGAATTCTACCTTGCAAGTCTGGCTAGACCAGAGGATGTACACTGGTACAGATAGGAACTGGAAATACAGGGAATCCAGGGCGGGTGATCCCTACAGGACAAGTGGTGTGAGTGGCAATACTGGGAGGGTAGAGGGAGAATGGGTTGGAAAGAGGGAACCAATTACAAGGAACTATATGTGATCTCCTCCCTGGGGGACGGACAACCGAAAAGTGGGTGAAGGGAGACGTCGGACAGGGCAAGATATGACAAAATAACAATTTATAAATTATCAAGGGCTTATGAGGGAGGGGGGAGTGGGGAGGGAGGGGAAAAATGAGGACCTAATGCCGGGGGCTTAAGTGGAGAGGAAATGTTTTGAGAATGGTGAGGGCAATGAATGTACAAATGTGCTTTACACAATTGATGTATGTATGGATTGTGATAAGAGTTGTATGAGCTCCTAATAAAATGATTAAAAAAAGCCAAAGAAAAACAAACAAACAAACAAACAACAAAAACCAAATCTGTCTTGGAAGAAATGTGGCCAGAAGTCTCCTTAGAGGTAAGGATGGCAGTGCTTCCTCTTACATACCTTGGATATGTTGTCAGGAGAGACCGGTCTCTGTAGAAGGATATCATGCTTGGTAGAGTAGAAAACTCAACACTCACTGCCATCAAGTTGATGCCGACTCATAGTGACTCTATGAGACAGGTTAGAACTTCCCCTGGGAGTTTCCAAGACTTTAACTATTTATGGGGATAGAAAGCTCTGTCTTCTTCCCTTGAAGCAGCTGGTGGTTTTGAACCGCCAACCTTGCAACTCGCAACCCAATGTGTAACCACTATGCCACAAGGGAAGGACCCTGGTAAAGTAGAGGGGCAGCAGAAAAGAGGAGGGCCTTCAATGAGATGGACTGGCACAGTGACTGCAACAATGGGCTCAGGCACAGGAACCATTGTGAGATTGACACTGGACTGGGCAGGGTTTCATTCTGTTGTGCCTAGGGCTGCTATATGTGGAACCAATTCCCTGGCACCTAACACCAACAACATGTATATATGAATATGAACTTTGTTGTCTGTCTGTGAGTCTCTGGTCTTTCTACATCTAGACTCTTTACTGTCGAGAGGGGCATCTACATTGCACTCTTGAACAAAGCATCCACATCTCTAATAATAAGGATGCCTCATTATTAGAGTGTGGTCTTCGGTCCAGCAGCATCAGTATCACCTGAGGATTTGTTGCTGCTCTTGTTACTTTGTGGACAGTTGCTGTCGAGTTGGTTCTGCTTCATAGTGACCCTGTGTACAAGAGGAGGAAACACCGTACAGTTCTGCGGCATCTTCACATTAATTGCCGTCTCAATCCCTCTCATTGGGGACCTTTCTCTCTTGCGATGACTTTACTAAGCAGGATGCCCTTCTCTAGGAACTGCTCCCATCTGATAATACACCCCAAGTATGCGTGCACCATGCACACTTTTAAGGAGCACTCTGACTATATTTCTTCCAAAGCAGATTTGTTTGTTCTTCTGGGCGTTCATGGTATAGTCAATATTCTTTACCAACACAATAAGGCGAAAGTATCCATTCTTTGGTCTTCCTTATTCATCTTTCCACTTTCACATACGTATCAGGAAACTGGGTTGGGTCAGGTGCCCCTGAGTCCTCAGCATGCTAGCTTTGCTTTCAAACACCCTCAACAGATCATTT